ATGCTTCAACTTCTTCACTTTTCTCATGATCAACTTGTACTGGAACACATTCGCCACCACGACTTCGAATCTAAAATTAGAATATCTTTAGTTATTATAATACTAATGAACTTCTATCTCGACAGAAATTCTACATACTTACAGCTTCTGCTGTTTCTTCTAAACTACCACCTTTACCATTGGAAGATTTCATTGTACGACCTTGATATATACACGTAGTTTATAAATCGAATAAATAGATCTCTACCTGTAACATAGACGAGAGCTCCGGCAGCTCCTAATTCAATGGCAATTCCTTTGCCAATGCCTCGTGTTCCACCTGTAACAAGTGCTATTCGACCAGCTAAAGATTTCGCTGCCATCTGAAATAAAATACTTGATTTTTTTTTGTCTCTCTAATAAACATATTTACATCTGAATATACAGACAAAAGAACGCAAGAAAATAGATATATATTTATATAAAGATAGGACGCTTGGTTGATAAACAGAAGTATCATCATATATATACACCTGACACACGATGATAAAGCAAAAAAGAAAAGAGACGGGAGGACAAAATACAAAGTTTAATCTCGTTCGTTAAAAAAACTTATTGAAGCAATATATCCATTTGACATAACTTCAAAAATCATATCATCATTAACTAAATGACAAAATGTTGGTCCAAATGGATTTGTTGTATTTGTTGATGATGAACGATGAAGAATAGCAGGCGGAGTACGATTATCAAAGATTTCTTGTATTGCAGGCCACTATTAAATATGAGATTATATTATAAATATAATGAAAAATATCAAATTTCTTACTCGTGTTGATGGAGTAACAACAATTTCCTTTCCTGTTACATGATTTCGTACAGTTAATTCAAAATTGCACGGAAAATAACTATAAAATCGAAATAAAAGTTTTGTAAAAACTAAAATTTTCAATTTTTACCTATCAAAAAGATAATGACAAGGAAAATTTGTATGTAAAATAAACTTTTTCACTGTATGACTTTGTCCATCGAATAAAATATCCTTTAAAAAAAGTTGTGAGTTCTTTTTATTAAAAATAATATTCAATTTACCATGCCGAAATTGATGTAATTATAATAAAAATCTGATTTATCTTGTGAACGTTGACTTGATGAATTTGTTGGTGATGGACTATGAATCTTTATTTTATCATCCGTTTTATAGTAAACACTATTTGGACTACCAATAACGGAAAGAACATCCTTAAAGAAAATATTATAATAAATTAAAGGATAAAAAAATTTCGAGAAAATATACTTGACAAGTATCATCAAAATGAACTGTTGCATCAAGATAATCAATATGATCATCTGGATTGTAGGTTTTCGTTGCATGAGCTAAATGCAAAACTATGTAACAATACATTTTTTTCTCTTATATTCGTCATACCTTCGACCATTAATCGACATGTTAATCCAATTGTTTTTTGATTTTCCATAAGATTTGATAATTTTTCAAGAAAAACCGAACGATTAAAACAATTAACTGGTAATGGTGGAACACTGAATTCAAGTGCAACATTGCCGTAATAAATGTAGATTTTTGAAACAACAGGTGATTGTCCTGGTGGAAATTGTAGTGAATGAAGACCATGCATTGATTTTGTCTATTTAAAGGAACATAAATATTAATTCTATTATAAGTACAAAAATCAGTCAAAGTACTTCGACTTGTGGTCCAATTTGATTAAAGAAAAATGTCAGACCAGGAAAATGCATTAGAAATGATTGACTTTCGCGATTATAATCTAATTATAGTTATTAAGAATAGAAAAAAATTGAGAAAAAAAAATTTTTGTCCGTACCACCGGGTCTTGTTGGTCCAAATATTTCATTAATATTTTCAATTGTTGGTACAATTTGAGGACTATTAAAACAATTACCACTAAAAATATCCAATAGATTATAATCTTTTCGAATTTCAAATCATCTTTTATGACTTACAAATATTTCAATTTTACTTTCTTTAAATCATATAATTCAATAAGCTATTTCGAGAGAAAAAATAAGAATGTATTTATATAAAAAACAAGTCTCTATTTACTTTTAATCGTTGAGTTACAGAATCAAAATGAAGTAAAATACTATCATTAGGTAAATTAAGTGTATAGTCTGCACTTAATGGATCCTAAACAAGAATAATTTATTTTGTTTTTTTATTTTTTAAATATCTTTATATTTTACTTTATCATTATAAACTAATGTGACTGATTTAATCTGATCATCATTTTGTTTAAGTAATTTAATTACTTGATATAAAGACATGCCTGAGAATCATGATAAAACAAAAAAAAAAGTCTTGAGAATAAATCATAGTATTTAACATACCGAGAACTATCTCCCATTTTGTTGTATGAATAGAACGTTGTTGTGTTATTTCGACTTCAAGCATTCTTGTTCTTTTTTTTTATTATGTTGAATCTGTTAGAATACGATTGTTTTATAGAATAAAGAAAAAAACAACACAGCACGTGTGCCTTGTATGATGAGTGAATGACTCTATCTGGAAATAATCTATCGAATCAGATAGAAGATAGAGGTCACTTCTACATGAACTACTTTTTGATAAAGATTTTTCAGTTTATTAAATATAAGATATCAATTTTTACATATTTCCATGCTAATATTCAATAAATATAATATTTTTAATGATCAGTATACCAAAGGTGCTAAGTATCTATTAGAGTTGATAATACTTGGTTCGTACTCCATAGTTTTTCATATCTTTACGTTCTAAAGAATATTCTGTATGTAGTCCGAATAAATAAAAAAAACTTTATCGATATAGATCTCTCATTGTTTTACAATAATGAATAAGTTATCAATCTTCATTGACACTCAATCAGTCTACTAATCAATTTAGTCTCTGGTCAGAAAAGAAAAAGATATATTATTCTCTCCAACGAATAAGGTCACACATTAAACATCAAATTTTCGCTCGAGTAAACATCAAATAAAATATATGATAATAAAAAACAAAAGCACTAATATATTCTTTAGTTTAATTCTCGCTTTTCTATCAAAACAGAAAAAAACGTATTTTCTATCATCAATCATCTATAGTCTTAGTATTCAATATGAATAATTTATAACGCATAATTAAATCAAAATTTCCATTGAAAATTATAGATAAAAATATTGTGTACATATGATATATATATATATATGTATGTCTAGCTTCTGTTATATATATACAACAAAAGAATGATTACATTGATTCCTTTTAACTTTGTCTCAATAGACTAATAAGAGACGCACGTATACTCAATTGATGATAATCGAAGTTTGTATTATTTCTTCTATTGAGCTCATCGTTTTTTGTTATGTTTTCATTCTTTTCACATATTTCCCATTGCATACGTTCATTAGTAGCCCTATCGCGCTTTCTCTTTCTCTCTTTCACAATAGCGACAACTACTAAATAGGTTAGAAGAGCAGTCTGTCTAGACAGATGTGCACTCGTTCATGTGCACATCGACAAACCATCAACATTGGTAGTCGTTCCTTATGTATATTTAGTTCTTCTCCCTCTCTCTCTTTTTCTTTTTCTTCGATAGTCTTATTTGATAATTCTTCGTCAATTGACCAACAACCAATGCTCGGTCATTCTCTTGCATATGTATATACATATATATAGGCCAGACATCAGTGTAAATACATACCGACAACGATGCAAGTGAACGAGAACGAGAGAGAGAGAGATTTTTTGAGTAATATATAAAAAAAAGAAAGAAAGAAAGAAAAGAGAGAAAAAACTAAGACAAAGAATAACGCCGACAAGCTGGTCAGTCGTTCGTTATGTAGTTTATGATGAAGTAGGTAAATGTGTTGTAGAAGTAAAGAACTCGATTGATGTTATGTATGGTATGTGTGTTTGGAAAATGGGTAATCGATATTATATGTAATACAAATCAAGGAAAAGAAATTTAATTAACCAACATGGAAGGTATTTTGAAAAAGATTCATTTTTAAATTTATAGTTATTAGAATAATATATATATATTTAATCGTAACACTACAATCTATTCATATATTGATCAGTATATATATAATACTTAACTTCAGTGTTTTGTAGAATATGAAGAAATAGAATTCACAATAATTTTCCTTTCTCTAGCATGACAACGACTCATATCATCATGTTTAGTAGTGATCAACTATCATCTTATCATATGGTTTAGATAAATAATAGGTACAACGGTCATCGATTAACATTTATCATCAATCATTTAATTTGTACAAAGTTTCGTTTTCTTTTGTTATCATCGTTCTATCATAATGATAAATTTTTATCGTAGAATCTTTGTGTTCATTTAATCTATATGTGAAATCTTTATTTCTCATTCTTTTTTCTTCAATTTCATTTACATATTTGTGCGTGGAACTTGTTCTTTCTTCTCAAATTTGACGATGAACAGCGCGAGGTCCACAACAGTGATAATACATATATACAAAATCGGCGCTGTTGTTTATGTGTATGTGTGTTCATTATATATTCTAGAAGTTTTTTGTTTCTCTATGATTGTTGTCATTATCTTAGCTATTTGGGTATAAGAATTGTTTAGCATAAAAACAAAATTTCGTTTCTTTTTTTTATGCTGTTAATCACTCATAACATATGTTTATTTTATCCAAATGAAAAAAGAAAAAAAAAGAAATAACACTGATATAGATAACAACAGTAAACGAAGACAATAAAGGACAACAGTATGTTTAAACAAAAGAAAAAGAAAAAGAGAAAAAAGAAATGAGAGAACAAGACAACCAAGAAATTCCTTTCCTATGTGTATACAGCTCGAAATATCAAAAACAAAATATTATCGAGCATCGTCTGAGTGTATTATTGAAATGAGAAAAAGATAAGTTCTTTTTCAATTTGTTGCTGCTTCGTATTGATATATACATAGACATACGCACATAAACATAGAACAAAATGAAAAAGATGTAAATAGGAATAACAAATGTTCCTTTCTTGAGATCATTTAATTGCGACCACGATAACCACCATCTCCTCGACCACCGCCACGATTATAGCCACCTCGACCACCACCACCGCCACGTCTCATTGGACCGCCACCTTGCGATGATCCGTAATTTTGACCGAAACCACCAAAATCAGATGGTGTACCAAAAGCTCCGTAACCTAAAGAAGCAAAAGTTTGAAAAGAAATATAATAGAAATCTTTTCACTTACTCTCTTCATAACCAGTACGAGGTGGGCCTCCCATTCCATAGTTTTCACCTACTCCTCCACCCATAGGTCCTGGACCACCGAAGCCCATTATACCACCACCACCGTTACCTCCCATACCACCACCCATATCACCACCATAATTTGAAGATCGATTGCCATAGTCTCCACCAGGATTATAGCCACCGCCTCTTCCTCCACCACCAGATCTATAACCACCTCCGCCGCCATAGCCACCTCCTCCATTATAGCCACCTCCACCAAAATTTGATTGACCACCCATTGGTCCCCATCCACCACCTGTTCTTGGTGGACCACGCATACCACCACCACCACCTCCACCTGCATAATTTGATGCAGCATGTCGAGCACGATTTGTTTGATCTTTAGGTAGAGCTTTTTCTACATTGACAGCATTTCCTTTGATAACATGATGTTTCTCTAGAACAATTTTATCTACTGGATCATAACTATAAAAATTACAAAGATAAATATTATTTTCTTCACAAAAAACAATTCTTACTCATCGAATTCAACAAATCCAAATCCACGTAATTTTCCTTCATTTGTTTTCATAATAACAGCATCAATAATATTTCCATACTAAAATAAAAATAAAACATTCCTCTAGAATCTGATTATATATACGAAATGATTTACTTTTGAAAAATATTCATTTAAATCATGTTCATTGATTGATCCTTCTCGAATACCACCAACAAATAATTTTTTCGCACTTAAAGATGATTCTGGTTTTCCACTTTCTTCTCTTGGTACTGCTCGTTTTGGTTCAATTTCACGTGTATCAAGAATATGTGGACGACCAGCCATTAACCGATCGACCATTGCTGATGATGCATAAGTAACAAAACCAAAACCTAATTCAATAAAATCGAATAAATATTCGAAGTTAATTTATATAAATTTTTACCTCGAGATCGACCGTCTCTATCGCGCATTATAATACAATCCTAAAGTAATCAAATTGATTAGATATTATAAAAATGAAATTTACTAATCTATTTATTCAATACTTACAACAATATCTCCATAAGTTGAAAAATAACTTTTAAAAGCTTGATCATCTGTTTTATATGAAAGTCCTCCAATAAAAACTTTTCGAAGAAATTCTGGTTCTAAATCATTTTTATTATAAGTTTCTTGTTCTTTATCATCTGAAGTAGTTTCTACTGGTTCAGTTTTTTCTTGTAATTGTTCAGTTTGATTTGTTCCATTCGATTCAAGTAAACCATTTGCTGTTGTCGTTGTTGTTGATTCTTCTATTTGTTCATCTTTTATTGTTGCTACTGGATTTGTTTCATCATTAACAACTGGATTCTGTATTAGTATTGTTTCTTCCGACATTTTATTCTAGTTTTTATATTGATAATCGTTTGATCATCTAAAATTAAATTTTTCATTTCCTTTTTTCTTTATTCTATATAAAATTTATACAAATAAATCTTCTCATTACAAAATACGAAACATATGAGATATATATATATATATATTACAAACGCGATTGTGTACACTGTCGATCATATTCGTAAATGCTATTCTCTCACTCGTTCACGAGATGCATGTGATAAAATCTCTTCCTATTGTTTGCCTCTGTTGACTAAATCTACAAATAGACAAGAAATGAGTATAGTGTCGAATCAGTCAGTCAATACTCAGAACTCTCTCATACTTGTATATAAAAATTCTTTTTTTTTTAAATTTTCAAAAAAAAGAAAAAATGATAATTACCTTGAAATAGATCGATATAAAACATTCTTTAATAGTTATAAATCTAGAAATAAAAATAAAGTGATTATTGATTTTGTTTTATTAATTATCTAATTGTTTAAGAGTTTCATAATAATCTATACAAGCCAAAAAATCAAGTAATTTTATATGTTTTATACGATTATTATCATGAAGAACATCCGGTATAGTTGTTTCATATATAATATATGTCATTGTTAATTGATTATTAGAATTTATATCTGTATCACTATCAATTCGATGTAATTTTGGTTCACGTTTAAGTAAAATTCCATTCGTTATTTTAATTAATTCAGCTAAATCTTCTTTTTTATATGTATGAAATTGTCCATAGAGATAAAATTCACATTTATCAAAAAGAAGTATTTCCTTTGAAAAAAAAACAAAAATAAAGATAGAAATAAAATTTTTATTTATTACTTTTTGTTCATGTTTCATTCGACTTATATGTGCACCATTTGAATTCGGTTCAAGTTGTGAACCAATAATTTCATAATCATTTTCATTTATCCATTCTTTCTTATTTATACATTCATCAATCCCTAAACGAAGCAAAAAATGTAAAAATAAGAAAATTTAAAAGCTAAACTTTACATTTTTCCGAAACAATCCATTTTCCAAGAACAATTCCACGTAGATAATTTATCGTTCGAAAGGCAATTTTATCTTGTTCACCACATGCAATAACATGCGTAACTAAAATAAATCAGAAATATTTTTATGTAAAGAAAATTTTTTCATAAGAAAATATTCAACCATTATTTTCAATATTTTTCGCTGCTGTTACACATTTACGACCAAATATTGACTGAACAGATTTGATTAATGATTCTTTACGTGCTTTATCAAAACCAGTAAAAAACAGTATAGTAGATGATGATGTTGTTCGTCCACGTCGACGTGATGGTGGTGGAGCAATTGGTAAATCATTTTGACTAGGTTTTAAACATTGAATTTTTTCGAATAATGATAAAATTTTAGTATTTGTTGATGTAGTTACAAGATCAATAGCTGTTTTACCATTTTTATTTCTTAAAAATCAAGAATAAATAGAAGAAAAGTTTATATAAAAAATAAAGATATATACTTTAAATGTGGATCAGCACCATTTTCAAGTAAAAATTTTATAATAGATTCATCCACATTTTCATTTAAAACTGCTTCATGTAAAACAGTCATTCGTTCATTACCACCTTGAATATTAATATTAGCATTATTTGCAAGTAATAATTCCATTAATGGAATATCACACATTGAACTAGCCTATTAAAAATAGAATTCTTTTTCGTATACACTAAGATTTATGTTTAAAATCTTACCTCATGTAATGGCGTCCATGAATTATGATCAATTGTATTGACAGAATATCCTTCTTCGATCAATTGTTTAACACGTGTTATATCACCTTTTTTAACTGCTTGATGTATTATTGATTCACCTTTATCATTCCGTATATCATTAGAAGATTTATTTGGTAAGATTGGTTTTTTACGATGAATCTATGATAATATTGAATTTATTTTTAATTTTAATATAGAAATAATTCTTACATCTGTTTCTTCTTCAGTATCTTGTTTTCTTATTAATTTAGATGTTTCAAGAATGTTTGAATCATCTGCTGTTTGTTGAACTTTTCGTATTAAACGAATTGATTTCGGTTTTTTTTCTTCATCATTGTCATCAGTTTTTTTCTTTCGATTAGGTGTTATTTTCTTAGTAACAGTTGGACTTATTACTGCTAATGGTTTATCAATATCTTGAATAGTTTTTGTTCGTTTGGATGGTGATTCATTATCTGATGTTTTTATACTAACTGATCGTTTTGATGTATTTGAACCACGTACAGTTTTACGTCGCATAGAATTATCATCGCTAACAGGTGTTGTTGATTGATTTTCTTTTTCATTTTCATCGTCATCATCATCATCACTCTCATTATGAAGAATATTTAAATGTTTTTTCTTGATTATTATCTTCTTTTTTATATCATTTATTGGTGCTATTTGATTATTTTCTCGAATAGTTGGACGTAATAAATTTAAACATGTTAATACACCTTCTTTAATAGCTTCCTTTTTTTGTTCAATATGTTCTTTAGATTCATTTGTTAAATCACCTAAATTTAGAATATATGTATAAGAGAGAAAATTTAATTATATATACTTACTTAAATCATAGAATGTACGAAATGTTCGATTAAGTAATGCTAAAACTTTATTATATTTTATATTTGATTGTATTAATGATAGATAAGGAATTTTTCCATTAGAATATTGTTTTTCTGCACATGAACTTAAATGAAAAAAAAAGAATAGAGAAGAAATTAAGGAAATTTTATATTTTTTACAGGCAAACTATTGATTCTTGACCATTAATTGTGACTATTTCACGTGGAAGTGTATTACTAAAATGATGATAGCGAAGAAAATAAATGAGATTATTATTTGAACTAAATTAAATACAAACCATAATGTACATAGAAGAAGTCTACAACATTGTTCAGTGCAATTCAATATTGATGTCAAATAATTTTCATCCATTATAGAAATAATAAGACAAATTATGATGAGGTAAAATGTGAACAATTGCTTCAAGGTAATTATTGAATAGATCGTCCTTTTTTTCTGTAATCGAAACAATAAAAAACAAACAAAAGGATTGTTTTTCAATGAATGTTATTGGTTTAGAAGAAACCGTTGATGTCGATCAATGATAAATATGATAATATAAACATAGAAAAGAATGAAACAATTAAAAAACTATTGAAAATTATGGAATAATAATAAATATTAAACTATATATTTATTTATATTTCTAGAAATTATTGGCTTTGGATGACATCTATCAGAATCGCCTTTAATAACATTAAATCCTTAGAATATGTTAAGAGTTCAAGATTCTCTTTCAAATATCGATGTCAAAAGAGGAATTGGTAGTAAATGTGAATACAAGTTCTAAGAGAAAAATAATCTTTCTAGATAGTGTGTTCGGATACATTTCTCTGTGGTTTTCTGATGTATGGATCTAGATTACAACCGTTCGTTATAGTTCTTTTTTTCTTTCTATAGATGTTGTTAGTATATCTCACATACATGTTCTTTCGTTCTTCTGCATTCATTAGAATTATCCCTCTTGGTATAATCCCAGTTCTTGTTGCGGAATATTCCTTCTTGTACACATATTTCATAATATATATAGACGTGTGTGAAACAGCATATTTTACAATAAAATATCATTCGACACTCACACTTCAGGACGTGAAAGGTTTGTTACGATTTTTCTCACTAGATGAATTAATTTTCAGATATGAGAATAGAAAAATAGATACTAAAAGCAACATATCTTTAACCTTCCAGAGGTGTTTGCGGGTTCCAGGAGACCTGCTGTGGTGCTTTTTATTTTTTCTACTTTAAGATCTATGCAATTCGAAGTAATCTCTTCGTTAATCGTTAGTCTTCTAATGATGTATAAGACCCATATGAAATTTCTTGTAAAACTATCAGCAATCAAAACCTAGAGTGTGGGTCCGTTTGAACCCTTGACAACATTCGTGTTATATAAATGATTTTAATTCGTATTACGTATGCCCTCTATTGTTTCGAAGGTCTATCTAAATGAGAAAAATAATAGAAATTCAATATCGGATGAAAAGAATTTTCCAACAAGATACGGTCTTATTCCTTATCATTTTCTTTTCATTTTATGACATACTTCAATGTATTATCGCATCACCTATATATATATAGTTCTTTGTTGTATATCATTTTATTAATAAATTGAATGTCCAAACAATGTTTTTTTTTATATAAAGTATTATCTCGATGCGTATTAGGTATTTTGGATTGATTTTGTTTGTCATTGTTAGGATCATATGCATTATTCAGGAAAATATACTGTTGAAGAAGAAACAGTATTCGTGACTAAGAAGAATTCTCTGACTCTTCTTACATTACCTGTTGAACTTGTTTATCGCATTCTTGATCATCTTGATATACCAATAATTTTACTTTCGGCTTATGGCGTTTGCACACGGTTGAATACCATAATTGATACGTATCCACGATATAAGGTAAACTCCGTTAATATTTATACCAGCATTAAATCCTTTAAACTTATCAGCCAGTTTTTTTTATATAGGTATGCACTAAATTAACTCTTCGATATAAGAACATAGTCGATGAGAACTTAAAATATCTAGCTAATTCATTAAAAATGAACACGGTAAGATAATGTTCGTATTTATATATCATATATTCAATATTATTATTGAGCACAGAGCCTTAAAGAGTTGGATTTTGCAAATAATAAAATTGGCGACAATGGAGTAAAATATTTAACTGATGCATTACAAACTGATATGGTAGGAGAATTTTTATTATTATTTGTCATATATTTATTACGATCATTTTAATTAGATACTTGAAGTTTTGAATCTGTACCGCAACAAAATCAGTGATGAAGGAGTAAAATATATTGCTGATATATTAAAAACTAATACAGTAGCACAGTTTTTTCTTCTCATTCATCATAAATTCATCATTATCTTGTAACTTAGACACTTACAGAGCTGAATCTTACAGACAACAAAATCGGTGATGAAGGAGCACAATATTTAGCTAATGCTTTAAAAGTCAATACGGTATAACAATTTCTATACTTATCAGACAAGTACTCATTATTTTTATTTAACATAGACATTGAAAACTCTTCGTCTCAATGCAAGCAAAATTGGCGTTCAAGGGGCGCAATGCCTGGCGAATACATTAGAAATTAATACAGTATGACAATTGATATTTTCATCGAACAAATAATCATTATTTTCGTTCAAAATAGACATTGAAAGTCCTCTCCCTCAATGAAAACGAAATGGGTGCTCAAGGAGCACAATATATAGCGAAGGCATTAAAAACTAATACAGTATAATAAAATTTTGTATTTTCATTAATCAAATTTTTATTTTTATACAGACACTTATAGAGCTACATCTTGGATGGGCTAAAATAGGTCAGCAAGGAGCACAATATTTCGCTGATACATTGAATATTAACACGGTTAGATAATTTTTTTTCTTCTATCTATTATAAATTTATTATTTATATTTAATATAGACACTTATAGAACTGGATCTTGGAGGAAACGACATCACGGATCGAGGAGCACTTTTTTTAGGTAATGCATTACAAATCAATACGGTAAGATAATATGTGCTCTTCCTTATCACATATCTAAAACGATTATTCAACACAGACATTGAAAATATTAGCTGTTGACATGAATAAACTTAGTGCACGAGCAAAAAGTTATCTTGATCAACTATCAAAAACTATTCCAAGAAAAATTTTTTTCCATGACCATGGCGATCATTCGTTTATTGATAAATCAACATCGTCTATGTGGAATAAAGACTGGAACTGCACTAAAGATGATTCTACTAAATGTTGGCTTTGACAGTGTACCATTTTACTCGAAAAATATATGAAACAGACTTTCTTTGATTTATTATAATATTGAATTTTATAAAAGAAAAAAGAACTTATTTAAACTATAGAGTGTGTGAGAGTATAGCGGGCTGTGTCTTTTCATCTACATATACATCATGAAAACGTAAAATAAATAATATTCATACAGAAGATGATAGGCATTTATACGATATGAGGGTATGGGTATGAATTAATATTAAGTGAATCAAGAATAATATGATTTTAACAAGCGAATGAGAAATCAAATTTTTTAATGAATTTAGGCATTTTAATATTTTATTGAATTATTTAATGTTTTTTAATGTTTAATGGTGTGGATGTCTCTTATCGATCTAGACTCACACCAACACCCTCAAGATAGTCTTAACAACGTGGGCATGAGCCAGTGTCGCTAGACACAATATTAAGAACAATTCAGTACTAATATTGTTCATAGTCGGCTTGAATCACGTCATAAATATATTTTCTCATTAGTAGCTGCATCAACGCTGTCGATGGCAAATGAACATTCTGATAGATTACTATCGAATATTAACAGTGATCTGTGAACTCTACAACACATTCTCTTTTCCCATTTATCCTATATTCTAATTTGTAAACCAATCCTTTTAAAAAGATCTCCTATCACTATCTTCTCGGATAGTATAGTATAGTATAGTAGAAATCGATTTTACGATCAAATTAATTGTGAGTAAGACAACAATTCCCATGTTTTCCTAGATTTTTTTAATGATATATCACTCATATCTATATTCTCAAATGAATTTAAAATAATATCTAATATGATTGACAAAACTAAACAAAGCTAAAAGTTTGATATTCGATCAAATTTTTGTAATTATTGTTGATGGCAACGCCGATGACTAATTATATATGAAATACTGGGAAAAAAGCATTCCATTTTCTACAACATTCTATTGTAGAAACATACGAGATGACTAAGTGTCTAGTTAAAGCAATTCGTTAATTATCAGATTTTTTTTACTTTCTTTTTTCTTTCATAATATTGAATGAGTATTCTGAAGGTAATTTAATTTTAAAAAGCCATTACATAAACACAAAAAAAAACTGTTTCTTTTTCTTTTCTTCATTTGATGGTGATGATTTTAATTCCATAAATGGTTAAGGAAACTGAGGTAATATTTTTTCCTGTTGTTATTCTATTCGCTTTGGAAGTAAGATAGTCATGACTTTAGTTATTTTTTTTTTTGAACAAACCTGACAAACAATCAACAACATTTTTTTTGTAGTGATTAAATATTAAACGAGAGAGTTGGAGAAAATGAAAGAAACGAGGAACAGTATTGCTAGTTTCTAAAACATTTGTAAAAGAATTTTAAAACAACAAGTCAAAAAAGATGTTTTGGATATTTTTTGTTTTACTGATATTTTCTACTGGTGATTGCATTCTTATCGGTAAAAGAGATAATAATATATTGATTGGTAATATATATAAATCATTATGGAATATAACGCAAAGTCAGTGTATATGCGAAATGGTAAATTCAAATGGAGCAATATCGACATTAAATTATTTTTCAATAAATCAAACATGTCAATTATTTTCTACAAATGACAGTTCGATTTTAATTGCATTTAATCTAAATTCTTCTTTGGTATTTATGAATCAATCAGCAATTTCCATAGCACTGAGTAAGTACATATTATAAATACTGCAAAAATATTATAGTTTTGCTTTTGAATGGCATATATTATTGTCATACAAATTATACTATAAGAAATATTCAACATATTCTCATATGAAAACGTAAAGTTTATAAAAGTATTTGAAGTTATGTAAAGTTTATCATAATGCATTCATGATCAGATACACTACTAGTAGAACGAAACTTGCAGAATTTTGGGCGAAACCTTAGTCAATTATCGTATCTCTTTTTTAATCTCATTTTTCTGATATAGATCAGATCACATCAACATCACCTTCATCATCATCAGCGTCAACAACATCATTGTCATCAAGCACATCATCAACATCAACATCAACATCAACAACAACATCATCAACAACATCATCAACAACAGCAGCACCAGGTCAGTAATATACTAGATGTTTTGTGTTTGTATCAATAATGATGATCTCAAATCACTAAGTTTGCAAACAGTACATAAACAACTTGTGTATATGACTGAATTAGTATTTTTTCAAGAATAGGTTTTTTACCATTTTTCTATGTTATTTAGGATGGACAACTACAGGAAGTATGAATACCACACGAGAGTTTCACACAGCAACCAAATTAGTAAATGGACTAGTATTAGTTGCTGGTGGATATAACAGCGTTGCTAGTAGTTATCTGAATAGTGCTGAATTATACAATCCATCAATAGGTACTTGGTTTATCATAGCAAAAATGAATTTTGCACAAGGATATCACACAGCATCCATATTAATAAATGGATCAGTATTAGTTGCTGGTGGAACCAGCGGTTCAGGTGCTTATCTAAATATTGCTGAATTGTACAATCCATCAACAAACAGTTGGGCAACAACAGGAAGCATGAATGTTGCACGACAAGGTCACACAGCATCCACATTAGCAAATGGAAAAGTATTAGTTGCTGGTGGAATCAGCGGCTCAGGTATTGATCTAAGTAGTGCTGAATTGTACGATCCATCAACAGGCACTTGGACAATAACCTCAGGAAGCATGAATACTCCACGACAACTCCACACAGCATCCACATTAGCAAATGGAAAAGTATTAGTTGTTGGTGGAGATAAGGGCGGTGGTGTTCTCAACAATGCTGAATTCTACGATCCATCATCAGGCGCTTGGACATCCGTAGGAAGCATGAATGTTGGACGAAAATATCACACAGCATCCATATTAGCAAATGGAAACGTATTAGTTGCTGGAGGAACCAGCGATAGTAGTATTCTCAATAGCGCTGAATTTTACAATCCATCAACAAGCATTTGGACAACCACAGGACCCATGAATACAGCACGAGAATATCACACAGCATCCACATTAGCAAATGGATTAGTATTAGTTGCTGGTGGATACAACAGCATTGTTGGTTATCTGAATAGTGCTGAATTGTACAATTCATCAACAGGCATTTGGACAACTACAGTAAACATGAGTATTGCACGACAATATCACACAGCATCCATATTAGCAAATGGAAAAGTATTAGTTACTGGTGGAGAGACCACTGGTAGTGTTTGTCTCAATGGTGCTGAGTTTTATTAGTCCATACGGACATAATGACATTTTCTTTTTTGAACTGAATTATAAACTTTTTTATTTAATCAAACTATTTAATCGTTCACATTGCTTAATAAATTATCAATCACCAAATAATATATGAGTTGAAGTGATATTGTACGGCGATTGTTAAAAAAGAGCCATAATTGATAAAAGACAGATCATTATCTGTACAACTGAGTGAATATAAATACAAGGTGTGAAGAATATTAATCATTAATTGCTCCCAATCACATATATTCGGATGAGAGCGAGTTCACATGTAATGATAACGTATGAATAATCGTTCTCAAGTGAATACTACGTTCAATCAAATCAATTTTTTCCTACTACACTTTTTTTTTGTCAAATAGTTTGCTGAGCTTAAATTGTGTTCTGGGTATGGTGGGCATGAATTTAGGTGCTGAGTCCATTCCACACCCACATCCTCAACATGGTTGTTTCACAATCTTTGATGTTAACCATATTTCACATCGTTTTTCAGGATTCATTGAAGATCCTTTTAAACATTTGAATGCTTTTGAAAATTCTGGCATATTTGATAAAGAACCAATGACACGATATTTTGGATGAGCATGTGTATCAGTACTTAAAGCTGCATTAGCATTTTCAAACGTAGTTTTTGTACACCATGTTTGTGCAAAACCAATAAAAAATAATTGTTCATCTGTTAAATTAAGACCAGGTAAAAGTTGCTGCTGTTGATGCTTAATATATTTCATCGAAAGTAAATGATGACGTTTTAAATAACGTTTATAAGCTGTATAAGCTATTCGTAAACCACCATTATCAGCAATCTTAAGAATAATGATAATAATAATTTTAAATGGAAAAAAAAAACATTATAGTTCAATATTTACATTTTCATCTAATGTAAATAATCCATTGATATGTTCGTTACCGATGCGATATTTATCATATTGTTCAATAAAACATTGAGCATGTTCATCGAAACGATGAGCCGATCCTTTCTTCCACCAATTATTTAGATTTCCATACCCATCAAAATGTCGACCACTAATCATACAATGAAATTTTACGATTTAATAGTAGATTACTTAATTTACAAAGTATATATCTTTAGAAACAAACCTTGCATCAAATGCATGTATAAGTTCATCTAAAATAATGAAAAGAATATGAATCATATATTTAAGTTAAATCTACTTACGACCAATAATTGATGCAATCGATCCAAAATTCAATGAAATAGGTATATTAGGATCGAAAAATCTAAATGAACAAAATTTTGTAATGATTTATTTCATAAACTTCTATACGGTGTTTGTAAAATTCCAGCTGGAAATACAATCATATTTTTCGATGGTGTATAATATGCATTTACATCAACTGGTGTCATTGTCCATTCTTCCATATTCGGACGTTGATCCTATATTATTTTACAACAGCGTAATTTGATTCGAAGATATCTTACAAGTTTTTTCAAATTTTGTTCTTTTTGAAATCGTTGTACTAATATATGATTAATAATTGAATTATTAGTCTTTGATAGAATTAAATCTTGATAGAATCTATCAATATTTCTATTATCTTCGATCCATTTTGGATAACCAAGTCTATCTATATTCTAAGATATATTCTTTTTTAATCTAAAAATATTCATTTCATCTACTAATAATCATTTTTGCTTTTATTTGTGCTTGTTGACGTGTTTCATTATCCATCCATTTAATATTCGGTAGAGTTTCAATAAATGCTGAACGAATTTCTTCAACAATATATTCAATTTTTTCTTTATTTTTTTCATGAAATATTTTTGAAATAAATAAAGCACCTAAACGATATTAAAAACAATAAAACTTAATTCTGTCATTTTTTCTACCCGTAGCAAATCCAAATGCTTCATCTGTTCTTTTCATACAAATTTCCCATAATTGTTTTTCTTCTGTAATACCTTTTAAATAGATTTTTAATGATTTTTGAATTTGAATAAAATTTTCCGACATATAAGGTAATAAATCTTGTATAATTTGAAATGTTATATAATTTGCTAAAATATATTTTGGTGTTGTTTGAATTATTTCATTTAATCTATTGAAATAATTCGGTGTTAATATAAGAAATGTTTGATTAGAAAAAAAATGTTTGATTTTTATGAAAAATTCTTTGTAAATAAATTTCAATATTAAACCAATTAGAAAATAATTGTCGCAGTTGTTCATATGTTCGTATATGATAATATTCATATGGATTATGAGATTTTTTTATTTGAAAAATTGATACTAAACGTTTTTCAAATAGAAATATTTCATCAATTTGTTTTAATATATCATAATAAGATAATGATGAATGAAGATATTGAAATAATTTTATACCAAATTGATTAAATAAATAACGAACATGTTTATCATAATAACGAACATGTTCATCAAATGATAAACCAGATTGTTCAAAAAAAATACGATAATATTTATTATTTTTCTCATCAATTGTAATACCAATATGAAACAATGGATTGATTTTATACTGATGAGTATAAATCAGACTTGAAACAAGATTAAAATCTGTTCCTAACCAATTTTTTACTAATAATGGTGAATATCCAATAGGTTGAAGAATATTTAATAAAGTTTGTCTTGCTAAATTTTCATTATTTATTGTATTCATACAAGAATAAAAATAATTTTGTAATTTTTTTATCGATGGTGAATTTATTTCGGAATTATTTTGAAGAATTTTATATAAAATAATTAAATTATTTTTATAAATTTCTTTAAAATAACTAATTGATGTTTCACTTGGTGTTAAAAAATGATTATCAATCCATCCACCACATGCATATTGATAGAAATTTTCACATGGATTTATATTTAAATCAAGATTTTCAATAATTCGATGTGATGTTGATATGCATGCAAGTGATGAACATTGTTGATGATATGAATTCGAATAATATTGTGAGAAAATAATAAATGGAAGTGAAAATACAAGAAGAAGAATAGTAATAAAAATAAGAAATATAATAATATATTGATATTTCAAATAATTATACCATGACGAATATGTTTTTGTTGTAGATTTTGATTGAATCCAAAATCGTTCAAAAGTAGAATTAAGAAGAGATATTCGAGCTTGTTGTAATGATTTTTCATAATCTTGATAGGACATATATGCATAGTTTTTTTTTATTCTTTTGTAATAGGTTGTCAAGACAAAAAATAAACTATAGATTTTTTTCTTTATTCATAAGAACAATAAGACACACGAAATTTAATGTAACAATTTATATACAGAAAACAAAACAATGTCAAATCTACTGTTCGGACTAAAAAAAAAAGCGAATGAATGTATTTTTATATTAAATAATCCAGACAAGTAATTGGTCAATTGATGAACGTCTTCGATGACTTTTTATACTTGTTTGTTTTTGATAATGAACTGATGTTGTTGAACGATGATATGATATATGATCTTTTTCATTTTTATTTTCATCTAATGATTCAAATGCTCGTTGTCGACAAAGTTCACAGACAATAAATGGTCTTGTTCGTCTTTGTTTAGAAAATAAGGGTGTTGAACATCGTGGACTTTGAGGAGGAGAATTTGTTGAAAAATAAGATGATGTTGATGTTGGATGAACTAAATAAAGATAAATATATGTTTTTATTTGTCTTTTTTTTTCTAAAGCTATAGACATAAATGATAAATTCAAAGTGAAAGGGAAGGGCGTATTGTTATATCAGATCTTCAAAGAAAAACAATCCGACAATTTGTCAATAAAAATTCATTTTTATTTATTATTCTTGAAAAACTAAACAAAAAACTTTATCCAATTTATATAAAATGTTATATTTTGAGTTTCTGTTAATCAAATGTTTCTCTCAGCTTTTTCTCAAATCGAAGGCGACAATTGTTAGTTAGTATAGTGATGCTGTGATTGCACACACTTCAATATAGGATATCCTGTCGGTCTTTTTATTTCTTCTTCTTCTTCTTGATTTACATTTAACATAAAACTGTGATATTGTCGACTCATCCTTTTAGTTAATATATTCTAACGAATAAATGATAATCAAAAAGACATTGTTTCATAATCAATTATATATTCAATGAAAATTTATGCATGTATGCCTACCTGCTGTTGTTAAAGATGTTTTAGGTGTTGATGAACGAAATAACATGCCACTAACTTTGCGTTTTGATGCTTTTGAATCCATTGTTATTATTGGTTTTATTGATGGTTGTAATGAAAGATTTTTACGTTTCTTTATTTTAGCTGATGAAGATGAATATAGAATTGAAGCAAGTGAATTCATTCTAAAAAATATTATATATTTATATACAGAAAAGAAGAATTTATCAGCCGGCATCATATATAATTATTCGATATACGCACATACGTAATCAAAGTGAAAATTTTACTGTCATTATCGATGAGGTGTATCAGAGAAAATACGATTTTATTATCAGGTGGTAATATCGTCGATATTCTCTCACTCTTAAGGAAAAACGTAATCGTAAGTGTTAATAACTTTTTCTGCTGCGGTTATGAGACTATTTGAAGTTACGTAGTACAAAATATATGAGTGCTCGTGCGCTCACACCTATTCAATACGAACGAATAGGTGAGTAAGCCGTATAAAATAGATCAACAAAGTAAAATAATAAAAACACAGACAACTTAAAAAGATGAAACAGGCGTCTCACGTTTTGTTAATTTAGTCCGACAAATGACCGAAAGGTAGAAGAAAATTAACACTTAGAAAGATAGTTTTTATAACTATTTAAAAATATAGAAAGAAACCTTACCCAACAATTAGGCTGATTAATATTGATGACAGCCAAAGAGAGAATGCGTGGATATGAAAACAAATTAAATTAAGACGTAACTGAATGAATATACTATTAACATAGAAGAAGAAGAAGAGGAAGAAGAAGAGAGGAGAAGAAATAAGAGAATTATTTATTGGATATAAACAATATGCTTTTATCGTCATTTCATTGGATAGATGAGTATGTAGGAAGAAACAGGTGTAAATGTGTCGATAGACTATTCATATAATATAGAAACACCTTTCCTATATTTGATATATACTCAACATTTCATTTCTTAGTGACGAATACAAATATTTAATTGATGATGCTATGAATAATTGAAATGATTAATACTTATTCTTGATTAATCATATACACGAGCGTAACGATTAATTATCATCGTTCGTTCAACAACATAAGTTGAACAAAATGATTAAAATTCTCGAACCAGATGATACAATGAAATGTATATTGATATGGAAAGAAGAAAGCTGGTACTTTGTTGTAACGAAAAAATAAGTTTACTTTTCTAAAGTTTGATCTCATGTGGTGTTTTTAAGAATAATACATATACAACGGCACTTTCTAAAGTTTGATTTTTGTTGTTTTTGTCGGCTATATTGACGATGTTTGTTTTGTTAAGACTAGTTGATATCATGTGCGCATCAGAAAAAAGAAATTAGCAGTTATAGAAATGATTGAAGTATATCTTTTAAAAGGCGATACGGGAGTGAATGCACGTGTACATTATAACGGATATATGTACTTACCGTATTATTATTCAAGATGATGATGATGATGAATCAGTATTTAATTGAGTGAAATCAAGAAAAATAAATATATTCATCAAATTTTAACTTCAATATTGAATATATATATATATATATATATAATATGAATTGTATCTATTTTGTATATCTAATCTGACAGGCAATTATCAATTTTACTGTTTAGTTTTCATCAAACGCAATTTATTTTTTTTACGAGGTTGATTTTGATGATATAGTTAAGAGCTCTTATAATTCACTCATATATGTGATATCTTTTGTTGTTTTTCTCTACAATAGTCTGTTAATATGGCATTGATATTGGACAAAAAATTATCTCAACATATAGTGTTCAAATAGAATATATATATTAGACTAGAACGGTGATATGACTATATTCTCAGCTAGAATTATAAACGAGAAACAGATGTAAATATGAGAGAATTCGATTTCATTTCCTATCGTGTGGTGTTAGTTGACCTTTTTCTTTTCTCTTGTATAACAGAATTAAGGCGTTTCCGAAAAATGAAATAATGAAAGTCAATTGTTCGTAGACAAACTGGAAAAAATGAGTTAAATGTGGGTGGTCATTGTAAATGTAGACAACGATGGATGCGATACGGAAATTACAAGCAATTATAAAGTAATCTTTGATTTTTATAAAGATATGAAAAATAAACATCGTTTTTTTTCCTCTATGCGTGAAAATTGTTACATAGATGCTTGTATTGAAATTCTCAGACAGTGATTATCTTTCGCTATGGATTAATCGCTTTGTTCATCAACAATGTTTTAAACATGTTCTTAAAATTTGTTTTATATTGATTAGCAAAGAAATATCAATAGTATAATATTTATGATGCTATTTTCTTTTCTAATAAATAGTGTCATCAAGTTTATCTGTACATTATAAATAAAAGAGGAGAAAAAGAAGAAGAAGAAGAAGAAGAGAAGAAATAGCTTAAAAATTTACATAACTGTTCATACACACGTAAAAGAAACGTTTTAATTTTTAGCTATACATCAGAAATTATATATTTTTAAAAAATACATGGTGGTCCACGATCAGGACTTTGATCTTTACATCCGGTATTTCGTAAATAAGGTTCATTTACATCTGATACATCAGCTGATCTTGATGAACGACCACGACGTTTTTGTTCCTACGAAAAAAAAAAGAAATTTATTTACGAATAATAAATATCGAGATTTACTTGAGTATAAAGTTGATTATCACGATCAACGAATGTTTGTAAATAAGGTACAATTGATAGTTGTGTAGTTTCGGTTTCTTTTTCTAAAAAATAAAATTTATTTTTTTTTAAATTTAAATTATAAAATTTCAACCTTGAAGTTGTTTTTCATATATAAGAACGTAAGGTGTAGCTGATGGAAAACGTTGAAAATGTGCATAAACATTTTCATATGTTAAATGTTCAACATGTGTATCATTAAAAAGCCACCAACCAATCGAATTATTATTATTTTTATCAATTAAATCATCATTATTAATCATAACAAATGCATAATAATGTCCACTATTCATTGATAAACCATGATGAACAACAATTGCTTTTAATCGATATGATATAAATGTTTCATTTACAGTTAATAATTGTATAAATTCTGGTAATGTTGTACGATCAAGACATTTTTCATATTTACCAGTAAGATGATTATGTACAAAACGTTTTAATAATAAAACAAGATAATTTGGATGTGATGTTAAAAACATTCGACGTGAACCATCTTCTTTTTTACCACATTTATCACATGCAAATTGATTTTCATTTATTAATGATTCCCATGCAAATGTATGATCAATAAGAGATTGTAAATCAAAGATTTTTTGTTGATCATCATTTGTTGATGATTGTTCATGAAAACCAATAGATAATTCATAAAATAAATCTTGAGATTTCGTTATTGATGAACATGTTAAACATTTACTCAGATGTACACATGTACCCATAAGATGTTGTTTAACAAGATCGAGATTTGATCTTAAAAATAATAAAATAAATTCATTCGTTTTCTTATTAGTTTACTGACTCTTCTATTGATTTCTCCTGGGAGCTTTTGAAATGATAAGAGTTACTAATAAGGGAACTTTCTCAACTGCCAAATCGCTTTTTAAGAGTGGTTTTCTAGAAAATCGGTTTCCACAAAACCACATACTTTTTACTAAATGTTGTTTTTTATTCGCTCAAATACAAACCTTTGTATTTTCGTATTAAGTTGTTATGGTGTGTACCTGTTTTATAGATTTACTTGGCTGTATTTTCTCGAATATTCTATTCGAAAGAGAAAGAGTTGTTGTTTCATAGATAATTCGATACGCTCTATAAAGACTTCAGGGCACTTCTCATAGTCATATTCGAAATCAGCATGGTCGATAAACTTAAAAAGCAATTTGGCAGTTTGGAATGCTCCCTCGTAAGAACTATAGAAAAGTTTGTATAAGAAATTACATACTCATTTTGTGTTGTTTTTTTTGCTTCTTCATGAAGTGCGTCAAGGAAATGTCGAAGAAATTCTTGACAATCTTGTTGTTGATTATGTTCAAAATA